GTGGCCAAGTTTGGACAACACTGGCTTAGTGCCTTGATGCCTTCAATCCCAACCGAAAATAATTTCTTTGAAAGTTTTACAAATGTTTTTTCCCTTACCAATTTCAGATTTAAGCTATACAGTACAGTGACCATAACCACCAGCTATACATCTCTCCCTTTAATATGTTATGCCTTAAAATATATATATTTCTCAATATATCATATTAAGATTAGTTTTATGAATTTTCTGATTCAGATTCTCTTTATTTCTAGATTTATGAGGGCCAAAGGAGATGTGATCTCCATGTCCTTGTGTTTACTGTGCAGCTTTTAAAAAATATGCAAACAATGTCAGTTGGAGGTATGGATAATTAGCAAGATTAGAGTAAGAGTGGGGAGAGAATTTAACTCTTTTCTATTGTGCTCTGGAGGAAAATTCCTTTTTCTGAAAATGGTAGTTACTTTGTGGGGGCACAGCTCCTCCTGGCCATTGGAAGGGAAAACAAATATATTTGCTTTCTCTGCCTTCAGTAATTATCAGCTTCCTTTTCCCTAGCTGTTGCTATTAAGTTTTTTTTTTAAAAAAAGAGAGAAACTGAATCATGGCCAAGAACTGCCCCTTTACCTGGAAGAAGAAACTGTAATACAATTTATTTGCTTCATGTACTTACATTATATAATGGTGATAATTCTGACTGCATGGTAAAGTTTGAAGCATTGCCTTTCTTAGCCCATGGAAGAGCTGGTGGTTTTGTTGTAGCAAACAATTAGAACAAAACAAAAACTCGTCTAAAAATAAACTAGGAAGAACAAAATGGTTTTAACATCAATATACACCACTGTAGTGTTCCAAAGTGTCAGCAACAGATATAAGTGTGTACAATTTTTAAACATATCTTTTAAAGTCTATATAATCATGTTACAGTACATGTGCATATAGAATACAAACGAATAAAAATATACAGCAGATAAAAACAGAACAATGCCAGGGAACTATCTGCAAAGCATTTCACAATTTCAAAGGGTCATTCATGAACAGAAGGATGTACAGAAGCAGCACTGGAATGATTGACACCCAAGGTGGCCCTCGGTGCTACGGGCTCTCAGTTCAGTTGCATAAGTCCATCGTTCACATTGTGACCAGGGTTCAACTAAATGGCTCAGCATTATTATTCCCAGATGCAAAGTAAGTCTATGGAGGGGAAAGGCAAGTATTGTATTTTTAATGTTATTTCCCTTTTAGTCCAAGGTAACGTTCCAGGTATTTATACGAGAGTCATAGGCATCTCTTAGAAGCCACAATAACATCAGAATTATGAGATGTGCATCATCATCCTATAATTACAATGTTATGTAATTTGCGTCAGTCACAGCTTTGATTGATGCCAATCACAATATTTGCCTGATGATGTCAAGACACATCATTTCCTCTTCCAAGGACATCTATGACTCAGAAATCAAGAGCTACTGTTTCTCATACCTTGGCTGTACAGAAGTAATGTTAATAAGGACTGGAAATTCAGTACCCACCAGTAATATGATAATCACAATATGTGTAGATGGCACTGGCCTAAATTAGGAGTGTTTTCAAAACTAATTGGTCCCCCCCCTCCCCGCCATGGCTGGAAGCTTCTGAGATCATCAGATCTCATGACGTTGCAGTTGTCTTGCTCAGGCAAGAACGCATGATACTTTGGCACCATGGTGAGATCTCACAGCTGAAACTGACAATTTCAGATTTAGAACTTTAAATTTTAACCTCAGTACTTCTGCTTTCTTTTCTACCTGATATTCTCTAGATCAGCTGGATACTAAAACTCCTGAAATTCCCAATCGGAAAGTTGGGGAAGGTCCCCCAGAGAAATTGAGAAATGCCTGTGCCACAAAATAAACCTTGTTTTTATTTCAGTTACTATAGCCTTGCTGAGAAACACACAGATTGTTCCCTTCACAGATGGCTTTTAACATGAGAAGGGATGGAATCTTTTCAAAATATATTACTGGTCTCTCTGAAACTTTCATTTCCCTCCTATTGTTACTTGAGGTAAAAGTTAGGAGCAATTCTAAACAGACTCAGACTACGCTTTTTCGATAGCCAGAGTGCAGAATACCAAGTGAGCATACTTATCTTCATGTCAACTATGAAACAAACAAAAAATCCTACTGCCAAAATTAATTGTATCAATGCTGTGCATTAATATGTAGAAAAGGAACTGCCAAAACATCGGTTTAACAGTAGCCAATGTGGAGCAATTTTTTTTAAAAAAGGGGCTTTTTAACATTGGCCCCTTTAAAGAAAAACACAGAGAATTCATTTAGTATCTTTTGGAAAGCATACTAACATGGTATATCCTTGATAGTACTGTGTTTTAAGGGCTGTAGTGTCTCTCTTGAGCCATACACTAGACAAAGATGCAGATATTTAACCAAGTGTACAACTCTGCTTTTCAAAAAAGGGACATCAATACAGGAAATACACAGCTGACTGTCTCAGCCACTGGACCTCCAACAATCCTGAGGTGTATCAGCCCTGAGACCAAAATACTTCTTCTCAGAGTTGAACTACTCTAACCCCAACCTGACAGTGGTGGTGAACTGACAATTAAATCCACCTCTCACCCTCCAACCTTCTAGTAGTCTTTGGATTTCCTTCATTTTTTCTTGTCCCTGTCCTTTGCTTCCCCAACTGCAATGCTGTGCAAACAGAGTCTGCTTGCAGTTGCCACATTCTCTCACCCTCTAAAATACCTCAAGAACATCAGGAGAAACAAGTGATAGATACCACAGTGACAGCCAGCAGTAAAGAATCAGCATCTTGCTCCTGCAGAAATCCACGAGTGAGGACTGAAGGTGTGAGAATGCTCAGTTTGAGACAAGCAGTAACAAAGACATGTGTTAAGAGGTGACATCAAGTTAACAACAGTTTGCTACCCAGGCAGAAAGGGCTTGTTGCTAGAAGAGATGGAGGTTTTCTACCTACATACCACCTTTCTGCCTTCTACATCTTGAATGTTCAGCGGCTCATTGCAGAAGATGCTCATGCCCACCTCCCGCTTGAGCCAAAGCTCCGGCTGAAGGAAAAGTTGATCTCAGAGTTTTTGTATTTGCCCCACGCTCCAAATGGCACTACAACGGCAGTGCTGTTATCTTCTGTCCCATATTGCACAGCCTTGGAGAACAATCGGGAAGGGCAGAAGTTTTAGTTTAACTATCAATCACCAATTTTCAAACAAACAATTTCAGCTGCACTCTTGAGGAATCTGACATCCGTGGGTAGCCATTATAATCCAGCCCCAAATGAATTTTTTAGAGGCTATTTTAAAGAATAAGTAAATGGGTAGCTGTCATACTGCAGAGCAAAGGTGAATTTCTATTATCATGTTCATTTACAAGAATGCACCGAGATCCAGATAGGCTCACAGGGATATATAAAATAAAAGTAAAAATGATATGTGATGACAACTCATTGCTTTGTTGGGAAGTGTGTCCAGCTCTCACTTCGCAGTGATAAGAGAAGCAAGGGCCCAGCTACAGCAAAAGTGTAAACCATATCAAGGAGTCTTCTTAGTTAGTTCTAACTAAAGACGACTGTAAAATCTAATGGAAGATTTTCCTATCAGGATACATCTAGAGCAGTGTTTCTAGACCTCAGCAACTGTAAGATGTGTGGACTTCAACTCCCAGAATTCCCCAGCCAGCATGAAATTCTGGGAGTTGAAGT